AGGATTCTGTTCTTGTGTTTTATAGCAGAGCTTTGCAGTTTTGATGCTAAATAAATGCTTTGATGACCTTGAGTAGGGAGTCAAGTAACCATGATGTGCTGCTAATCCTGGTCTGCCACCTAAAGGGCCAAGAAACTTTAAGAACTCTTTAAAAAAAAGGTTTCCTCATTTGTGAAATGAGGCACTCATTGTAAAATGAAGTCCTTTGATTCACACCAGGAGAATGCCACCCTCTGGTGGAAAACCTGTGGTACACATGTCATGTGGCCCACCTTTGTCAAGATGTTTTACAAAACACATCTCATGCTTCCAGCCATGAGAGAGAAGTAAACTAGAAGCAAGTGCTCTGGCCTGCCTTCATGGAGTATGTCTAATTGGTATCCTCCAGATAAAATGTTTTGAAGAGTAGAACAGTAAGTGGGGATTTTGAAATTGAGGTTTTCTTTTTAAACTTTTGTACTGATTGTTACATAAAGATTCTTGATGCTATTCACTGATGACAGATACTTAGTTCTGGGCAAGTGGTGAGAGTTTTCAGAATACTTATGTAGAATTTGATTTAAATTTTTACTCTATTGCCTACAAAAATGGTAATGGGGGAAGGTGAAGAAGTTCATTAGTCAAACCAACTGGACAACTTATTTAGATCCTTGTGGCCTAGTAGCATGTTTGCTTCACTTTTGATTCAGGAAAATTACAGTGTAGTTTTATAATTTTCTTTGTCTAATTTCTACCTATAGAGTGAAGTATCTACTCAGATAGACTTGGATTTCAGTCCTAACACTACCACCGACCTTGGGAAGTTATTTAATATACTTGAGCCTTAGTTTCCTCTTCTGAAAACTTACAGATAATACTTTCTGGGGTTATGGGATTAAATGAGATTATAAGATATAAAATACCACAATCTGAGTATGTATTAATCGGTGTCATTCATTATACTGCTTTTTTCATCTCTTTCCCCATTTGTATCTCCAATCTGACTTTTGGGCCATTTATTTACTATTATCACACCACCTTCTCCTAAACATAAAAGAGTATGTTGTATAAATATGTGTACCTGCACAAACTATTCTAGCTTCCAGCATATCAGACTCCTTATGTCTGAACTATTCATAGTCTCCAAAGCAAGGCCTACACTCTCCCCTCCATGTTTTGGCTTACTGGTTCCTCTCTACCTTGAATGCCCTTCTCATCTCTTTCAAAATCCTCTCCCAATTTGTGAGACCCAGCTTAACTTCTGTAAAGTTTTCCCTTATTCTCCTAGTTAGAGTCAGTCTCTTGCTACTTTCTTTCCATTCTGTTCTTAATGCTTATCTTGGTAGTAGAAGTCAATACATGATGCTTTTTAATTAAAGCTTTACATGTGAGACTTTCTACCAGTGAGCTTAATGTGGTAATTTAGCTTTGTGTCTTGCACACCCTAAGCACTCAAACTATATTGTTGTTATGATGTTCTTTAAAGATTAAAACAGAATAAAAATGGGTTGGGGTTGTAGCCTAGTGGTAGAGTGTTTGCTTAGCATTCATAAGGTCATGGGGGTTTGATCTCAAAAAAAAAAAAAAAACCCTGCAAACTTTTATACTTCTTGTAAACTGATCATAAAAGTCTATTACTAATTCTAAATTTTTCTTGTAATGAAAAGTTTTTTTACCACCCACTTCTTAACTTGATGTGTGCCTATTTGCTTCTTTCCCTTTCCTCCCCATCTATCAGTTATAATCTTTCAGGCCTTTTTTATTTACTTATCAATTTTTAATTCAGTAAAATGGTTTCCTTGCATAACTAAATAGCTTTAGAATTACGAATTCCCTCTTCCTCTTTACTCTTTATTTTGTTTTATTTTTGTTCTTGGATATAATTACTTTTTAGTTGTTTTCCGTTTTTAAAATAGTAAATTTGTTTCTTGTAGTTCTGAAGGTTAGGAAGTCCAAGACCAGGTTGACAGCACAGTCAGGCTCTGGTGAGGGCCCACTTCTGGGTTGCAGACTGCTGTCTTCTTCTTATGCTCTCACATGTGGAAGGCAGATGACTTTCCTTAACACCATTTGTTTGCCAAGTCACTCAGAGTTTAGTTGTTGGAACCGTTTTTTGTTCCTTGATTCCTTTCCAATATTATTTTGATTTCTAGGATTAAACATAGAAGTATAACCATGATTGGAATTTACCACTGAGTATCCTTGGAGTGTTAGATGGTTGCAGTGGCAAGTTAGTTTGCAATATTATTTTATACTCTTGGGGTTTCTTTTAAGTTTTCTAGATTTAAAATTAATACCAACAGAAAAGTAGTTATTTAGGGAACTAAATTTTTTTTTAAAGAAATGGGATCTTTGTTCCACTAATAAATAGTGGGATAGTTTGAAAATAATTTCCTGAAGGAAGAAGGGGATTCAGTGTAGATTTCATTGAGGAAATAAAATTGATTTAGAAGATAGATATTGGACTATTTTCTTATGAATAGAGGCAAAGAGTCCAGAGTAACACCTACACTAGAAGAGGGTTTGTATAGATACAAAACATAAATAATGCATATTTTAACAAGATCTGGAAAAATAGATACCAAGTTCATAACCACTGTTAACTCTGAAAAAGAATGTGGGAATTTAGGAATTGAAGAACTAACAAAATAGACTTTTGGTTTTTGTTTTCTTTGTTTCTGAATAGTTAAAAAGTTTTGGCAGGAGAACATGTGTATATGTTGATTATACAACTAAAAATAAATGAATGTTGGAAAAGCACTTGGAATACATTTTTTGGGTTATAACTTACAAAAGCCACCCTCAGTACCAGGTTTAATTCTGTCTTGCCTTTTTGGGTTTTAGGCTTTGGATCTTGTCATCTAACAAAAAATATATTATTTTCAGCTGGCAGAGGCACAGCCATAGTTTCACTTCCAGTTCCTTTTGCAAGTTTCTATATAAGCAGCCTTAAATAAATTATGTCTAAGAAGTTTCATGTCGTGTCATTATACTATCTCATTCAGGAAGCTTTGAAGGGAAAGTATAGAGCAGGAGGGAAATTGTTAAGCAGATTAAGGTTCAGTTTATTATATACCTTATATATTGATGTCTTTTCCCTAGGGATGATTTTTAAATTTTTATATTTTTTTGCTCTATAGCCCTATATGAAATCATACAACAGATACATACTCTGCTAATGGTATACTTGGCATTTGGGCATTCAGCTAGGAAAGTTAGCTCAGTACATTAGCCATTGGTTAAATCTTGTATCCAGATAAACTGTTCTGCAGCTGCCAATCACATTATTAACCCTAGCCAACATTTTGCAAATGTAAGAAAATATGTATAAATGTAAGAAAATATGTATACAGTGGAACAAAATCACAAATCTATCACCATGTTTTTGTGTACTTTAAATATAAACTCAGTTTTTCTATCGTGTATGTATATGTGTGAGAGAGAGGGGATATTGGTAGGACTGGGGATTGAATCCAGGGAATCTCTAGCACTTTGCTACATCCCAAGTCCTTTTTATTTTTTTTTTATTTTGAGGGAGGCTCTCACTAAAAGTTGCTGAAACCGGCCTCAAATTTTGCAATCCTCCTGTTTCAGCCTCACTATCACACCTTTCTATCCCTATCTTAATAGCAGGTTCTAGTTTTATTTTAATTGTTTTCTTGTTCTTCACACATTTAAGGAAGAGTACAGGTAAACAGAAAATACAAAAGTTACCCTTAAATCTTCCCACTCATCCCATCCTTAACTCTTCCAACTCATCCTTCTGAGGCAGAAGGATTACTTGAGTCCAGGATTTCCCCTGGGACAGCAGTGATAGGAGAAGGGAAGTAGCACAAAGCTTAATCCCTGCAACTCAGGAGGCTGAGACAGGAGAATCGCAAGTTCAAGGCCAGATCCAGCAACTGTAGGATACCTTGTCTCAAAACTTTAAAAAATTTAAAAGGGGCTGAGTATGTAGCTCAGTGGTAGGGTGTCCCTGGGTTCTCTCCCTACCACCACCACAAAAAAAAAAAAAGCTAAAATTGTTAAAACAACATATAATAATGAAATCCTTGCTCATGTGATTTATGCCTCTAGTTATTGGATAGCCTTTCTCACATCCTTCATTCCTCAGTATGCATGGACATCCTTAGAGCTTTCTATTATAACTGGTGTGTTGTTCTTAAAGGGCACAGTCGTACATGCTTGTAATTCTAGCACTCAGAGGCTGAGGCAGGAGGATCACAAGTTTGAGACCAGCCTCAGCAACTTCTCGAGCCTCTGTCTCAAAAAGGACTGTGAATGTAACTCAGTGGTGGAGTACCTTGATATCAATCCCCGGCACTGCAAAAAATAAAGAAATAAACTAAAAAACTTAGTGCAATATTTTTGAGTAAATGTAGGATTCATTGTGGCTCTGAGTTCTAAAATAAACCTTAAAGTTGTAGGATTAATGTGAACAAACCATGGACTCAGAGTAGACAGCTTGCGTAATGTGTTCAAGGCCCTCTGTTCAATCTCCAGCACAAAAAAAAAAAAAAAAAGTAAGCAAACCAGAATTCTGTAATTTTGTATTTTGAGTTATTATCTTAATGCTGTAATAATTAATATATACTTTCTCATTCTTGTGTATTATTGGGAATTCGGTGATTTATTTTTTTTCTTCTAAAACTAGGATTGATTTTTACAACTCACGTTTATTATACTAATAATACTATCTCTTTCCTAGACACGAGTGGAAGGGTAAAAGTAACGTGCTTTATTAAAGTCAGAAGTTTAGGGAAAACAGTATGTCTTACTTTACAGCCTACCATATTATATTTACAAAGAAATTATAGTCAAAATTAAAGTATTTTTTGAAAATCCAAGATGGAAAGATGTAAGTAGTTTACAGGGAAAGGTGGAAGGCCAGATTTTAAAATCTGTTAGGATGATTGAGAATCTAAGCCTGGTAAGCTTCTAAAAAGATTCTTGTGTTGCTTTGTGTTCTTGACCAGAGCAGTGTTTTCAGGGAGTAGGTTCTTAATTTCTTTCTTTTCCAGATTGCAAAAGTTGAGAAGCTCAAACCATTAGAGGTAGAGCTAAGACGCCTAGAAGACCTTTCAGAATCCATTGTTAATGATTTTGCCTACATGAAGAAGCGAGAGGAGGAAATGCGTGATACCAATGGTGAGAGGAAGGCATCTTTTATTTCTCAATAAGTAAACCATAAAGGAGACAAATCCCCAAACATTAAATTTTGGTGTACTCTTTTCTCAGTTTTTCAGAAGTGGGGTTTATGAAAGAAAAATTGCTTGTTTCAGTGCTATACTAAGTAAATCAACATTGTTAAGAGTGGAATTTTCTTCTGTGATGCATTTGATCATATTCTCTCGTTGGCTTATAGTTTGTCAGATAGATAGAACTAATCTTTGTAATTTTTAGCTTTTATAAATAGAATTTCCTTCCTTCCTTCCTTCCTTCCTTCCTTCCTTCCTTCCTTCCTTCCTTCCTTCCTTCCTTCCTTCCTTCCTTCCTTCCTTCCTTCCTTCCTTCCTTCCTTCCTTCCTTCCTCTAGTAAGCAGGCTTACTTCATTACATTTACAATGCTTTTTGTCTTTTAGAGTCAACAAACACTCGAGTCCTGTACTTCAGCATCTTTTCAATGTTTTGCCTTATCGGACTAGCCACCTGGCAGGTCTTCTACCTTCGTCGCTTCTTCAAGGCCAAGAAGTTAATTGAGTAATGAGACCAAGTCTCCTCCTCCCTTGTGAATCTCAGCCAGCAGAACATCGCTGGGACGTGCCTGGCCTAAGGCATCCTATTAACAGCACCATGAAGGCACGCTGAAGCTTTCTTGCCAGAACTGATCTTTTTTGGGAGGACTTGGGGTACTACCTACACTCAACAAGTCAATGAGGGACTTCTTTTTAACTCGGTAGGATTTGGACTGGTTTTGCAACAATAGGACTATTATTAGTCACCCATGACAAAAAATAGGGGTTACCCAGATAATGCCAAAGTCAGCATTTGTCTTGGGTTTCCTCACGTGATCTATTTGAACCATGTTTGCTTTCCTTCTCCCACTTGCTCACTAGCTTGGGCTTTCACTGTAGTTCTTTTACCACGATTTGTATGACCATGTTGAACTTGTTTCTTACTGATTGTCCTCTTTGGGTTTCCTTCTAAAAACATCCTGGCCCTTAGCTGAAGTGTTTACATAGCTTCTGGTGATATCCTTTCATAATTTTATGTCTCTTACAAGAGTCGTGAATGTGATACCTTATAAAAGTGAGCTCAGAACTGTAGATAACTTCTTAAAAAAATCTCATTTTAGACAATTAAAATATTTGCTCAACTGCTTGAATTTTTTTTTTCTTTTTGTGTATGTGTACTTAGTTCCATGCAGTTTTATCATGTTTAGGGTCATGAGACCATCACAAGCTATAGTACAGTTTCATCACATGGATTCCTCATATTGCCCTTTTATAGCCATAGCTACCTCCCTTCTATATGCCCCTTTACCCCAAACTCTGGCTACCACTAACCTGTTTACCATCACTATAATTTTGTTTCAAAAATGGTACATAAATAGAACCATTAGAATGTGACCTTTTGAGATTTACTTTTTTTACTCACCATAATTCCCATGATATCCATTCAAGTTGTTACATTTTATCAATAGTTTATTCCTTTTTATTGCTGATTAATATTCCATGATTATAGATGTACCACGCAGTTTCATCCACTGAAGGACTGATGGATTGTTTTCAGTTTTAGGCCCTTAGTAATAAAGCTTCTGTGAATTTTTGTGTATAGGTTTTCAGATGAACATAAATATTTATTTCTCTGGAATAAATGCCCAGAAAGAGCAATTGCTGGGTTCTGTGGTAAGCACATTTAGTTATGTAAAAAATTTCCCTACTCTTTCCAGAGTGGCTGTACCGTTTTACATTTCCACCAGCAGAGTATCACTGATGAGTTTCTCTTCATCCTTACCAATATTTGGTGGTATTACTATTTTTTTAAATTTTAGCCATTTGAATAGCTGTGTATAACATCTCAGTATGATTTTCATTTGCATTTTTCTAATGGCTAATGATGTTGAACATTTTTCATGTGCTTGCTTATGATTTGTATTATCCTCTTCGATGAAATGTTTGTCTTTTTCCCATTTTCTAATTGGATCATTATTTTTACTATTTAGTTTCGAGAGTTTCTTATTTATCCTAGATACAAGTCCTTTATCAGATGTGTGGTTTCTTGAATTTTTAACATCACTTCCACCAAGGAAAAGTAAGTAAAATTTACCATCTCTTCTTGCATGCCCAATTATTGTCTTAGTTCCTGTCATTATGTACTCTTTCTAGAGAATTGAGACATAGGAGGTATTAAAATAGGTATCTAGGAGGATCATGGAAAGAGTAAATACTTGAAAATACATGTTCTGAAAGTAAAGCCAAAAATTACTTGTGGGAGTGTGAGATGCCTAAAAGTCCATACTAATGTAAAAAAGAAAATATGGAGTTGGGGTAGAATACTCTCCTTGGATGTGTGAAGCCCCAGGAACTCACACATATACACATACCTGCCCACAGAGTGGATACAAGTGATGATGTTCATAAACAGGAAAACTATCACTTGAAATCTTTCCAGGGCTGGGGTTGTGGCTCAGTGGTAGAACCATCCTCTAGCACATGCAAGGCCCTGGGTTCGATCCTCAGCACCACATAAAAATAAATAAAGGTATTGTGTCCAAGTACTTCTAAAAAATAAATTAAAAAAAAAAAATCTTTCCAGCTTCTCCTAGGAAAGTAGGAAGGAGTTCTTTCTTTCTGGAATCTCTTTTTAACCCTGCTAATTGTTACAAAGCTTGTCTAATTGAATGGTAAGAATTACTGGACTTAGGTTCATATCACTTGCAGTTAAGAAGCAGAATATGAAAATTATCAAATAACACTGTTGTGATGACATGGATAAAGTGTGAAGACGAAAGAGGGCATGATTTATGTTAAAATCTCAGGCTAATCAATGTTCTAATTACTATGAATATGAAAGCTGCTTTTTTTTTCCTCCTGGGCAGCAATAAGCTCTCACCAGCCAACTTGAGCAACATTGCCATCTGCTGTTAAGAAGGGATATTGCTGCTTCTGAGAACTTGGCAGTAATATCCTTGCCATAGGGACAGCAGATGTTGAGAAAGTCTGTAGCACTACTGATATTAAAAGACAGTATGCATCCAAATACAGAAAAAAATAAACTAGTGGATTAAGTTCCATCCTTAAACTTTTAAATATAAAATCCTAGCCTGTACCATTAGCCTAACAAGAAACTCATATTTCTGACTGGTGCCTTCCCCTTTTTTAGAAGCAGTGAAAGCTTCTATTAGTTATGGTTTTCTACTCTGAAAAATATCAAAGAAGAAGATAAGAGAGGAGAGGAGAGAATGTTTTATTTTGCTGATGCTTTTGTTTCCAAGTGGCTCCAAACTGAAACTTTGTGGAACTGAAATTCTTTAATGTTCCTTCCTTTTACTCATGCCAAAAATACCACCATGAACATTTGTGCTTTGGGTTTAAAAGTTAATATTATGCCTTGCTTTTCTCTAAAAGGTAAAAATATTTGCCTTTGAAAACAGGCTAGTACAAGAGCAAATAAGCTTTAAAAAAAAAAAGGGATGTTATCTGCTTTACTCCCTTTTTTACTCAGAATGATCTGTATAAGTGGGAACAATTCAGTTCTAAATAAACTTTGTCATACCATTGTCATGAACCCCTGTCAAAGCCATTTTCTGTTTGTTTAATGGAAAAGGCATGTGGGATATATACAGATTCACTTGTGTTGAATTGGGGGTTTTGTGTAAATTTTCTCAAATAAATGCTAGCAGAAACCATTTTAGGTGTATATTTTTTCTGTTACTTTTGAATACCTCTTTGGATTAACAATAATTCCTCCATACTCCTTAGTGTTAAAGTATAGCAAATGATACCTGATAAGAGAAAAAATGTTCTTAATTTTCCTCATAGTTTAGATGAGCTAGTAAAATTTTGTTATATAACTTATAAAAATCATGTATATAATGTAAGTCATGTATAAACTAATAATCCTTAAGTATATATGCATGTATGTATATGTGTGTACATAGTTGCATATGTTTATATATGCATATATGTTTTCAGAAAGACCAGATGTAAGCCAGACATTCTCTGTACCTTCTTTTTTGGAAATTGCTGTTGGAATTATCCTCTAGGGAGGCTTCTTCCTTGTCTTTCATTCCTGAGATATCTCACCCAATTTAGAACCCCCTGGGACTTGCTTTTTTGGCCCATCATGTCTATGTAAAATCCCACTATAGGAGACAAAGGCTGTTTTTCTCTTTTGCTTTCACTTGACAGTTCATTGATTTTTGTTTGTTTGGTTTTCCATAAACCTTTTTTACAAGAGCCAACAAAAAGTGCTTTGTACATTCACTTACCTCTTATTTATCCTTTACCTCCATTCTTCCAAAAACCAGATAAATTTATTAGTGGCACCATAATCTACTATAAGTCCAGTTTAATAGTGGTTCCCAGTATTTAGGTATAAATATTTTAACATAAGGGCTGGGGATGTGGCTCAAGCGGTAGCACGCTCGCTTGGCATGCGTGCGGCCCAGGTTTGATCCTCAGCACCACATACAAAGGTTGTGCCTGCCGAAAACTAAAAAATAAATATTAAAAAAAATATTTTAACATCAAAAATGTTTTGTTTCTAAAAAAAAGTTTTGTTTCTTACTGATATTTTAGAGAACATGAATTATAAATGAATTCAGCAAAACTTACAAATGAATTTAATAGTATCAGTAGTATTATATACTTCCCATATGGTAATACATATTTTGTAAATTATTGATTCAGTCTACTATATTGGTGTCCTATATGTGAGTCACATGTATAATTTAAGATTTCCTAGCTATATTAAAGAAGCGAAAAGAAATAGGTAAATTTATTATTTAAATTTAACTCTTGAGAATGTTATTATGTTTTATAACATACAGTCATCTAAAAAAATGATTAAAGTAGTTTATATTGCTTTTCACCTAAAGTCTTTGCTACCCAGTGTGTTTTACAACTACAGCACAACTCCATTCAGAGGAGCCACAATTCAAGTTTTTAGTAGATACATGGAGCTAGCAACTGCTTTAACATACATACAGTGTAGGTTTATACCTTGCTTGGTCTTTGGTGGATTCTTTAATCTTTATAGTAACACTGTGGCTTCTTGAAGTCCGCCATCCACAAATTGGGTAACTTCAGCAATACTTGATAACTATTCATTTGTTAAAATATGAAAATAGTCTGTTTTGACCAAGGACACCTTACAATCAATTACACTTTAATTACAAATGTTGCATGTTTCTAGATTTAATAAAGTCAGATGGTTAGTTTCAGTTATATCCAGTATAATGAAGAATCTGGCACGACTGTGTTCTGTATGCAACAGGACATTTTTCTCTTAAGCTTATGATATCTAAGCTGTAACTAGAATAGTTCACAATTTTAGGCCAGTTAATTATAGAAAAACTATTTCCTCACTGGAAAGGTCCTAGGGATATTTACCCAAAGGTGCTCAACCATTGGGCCCACATCTCCATTCCCTTTTTTTTATTTGAGACAGGGTCTCAATAAGTTGCTTAGGGCCTGACTAAATTGCTAAAGCTGGCTTTGAATTTGGGACCCTTCTGCCTCAGCCTCTGAGCCACTGGGATTCCAGGCGCATACCACCACTCCTGGTTTGGAAAAATGAAGTTTTAAGTTGTGGCTAAAAACCTATTGAATTTCTCAGAATGAAAGTCAACACTTCTGATTTTAATTATTTTTTCTATTCTTTTAGCCTCCCCTTCAAAAAAAAAAAAAATTGAGCACCTAGTCTGTTAAACAAAATTAATAGAACAGAATTAACAGTTAAGCCAAGCTATAGAGTATATATAAATCCGGTTAAATGAGAGAGATGTCTATCTTCAAAGTGCCTTCCAATAGAAATATGAAATGGTGTCTAATTAAAACGATCTCCCTACTTTGCTTAGCTAATCTCTGATTTAATGCTTTGACTGTTCCTCCAGGAAGCCTTCACACACTGAGTAAATTTGGCTTGGGAAGATGCCTCTCCAAAATACCTTTCTAGAATTTTGTATTTTTATAGCATTTATACAAACTGTTGTGATTGCCTGGTTATTTTCTGCGTAGGGACTAGATGCTCCATGAGATTAAAAACTGTATGTATTTTTTCTGTGTGATTTCCCAGAAGCTGGCACATATTTGTTAAATGAATTAGTTGAAATAAAAAATACTTGTAAAATCTAGATCCCTGTGATGAAACCAACAAAACTAATGAGTTATCAGTCAAGGAGTCTTACATTTTGGTTTTTAAAAAATGTTTCATATGGACTGGGGCCATAGCTCAGTGGTAGAGTTCAATCCTCAGCAATAAATAAATAAATAAATAAATAGAGATATTGTGTCTATCTACAAATAAAAAAATTTTTAAATGTTACATACATACGGGGTATTGATATTTATTCAACAAGTAATTTTTGAGCCTCTATTACAATGCCAAGCACTTTTGTAGGCACTGATTATATACATATATAGTCTTGAACAAGAGAGCAAAATCCAGGTTCTCATGGAGCTTATAGTCCAATGAGTGGAGATAATAAACAAGACATCAGCATTTTGTAGGTAAGCATTCTGAAAAAAATGAGTGATATCATAAAGTATGATGGCTGTGTTACATTTACTTTACCTATAATATCCCAACTGATAAAGATTTCTTAAATCTAAACCTTCTCTTCACTCACTGATACTATCTCAGAACCTGTTCTTAGAATATAAATTGCCTTGTAACTTGTCTGTTTGCCTCCAGTTTTCATCCTTTCATCCTCTACATCATTTGGGTCTAATCCAATCCAAGGTGCCCATAGTTAGTATCTGAGCTGGATATTCATGCAAAAGAAGGCTTTATTACCCCTGTAATCTCAGCTACTCTGGAGGCTAAGGCAGGAAGATTGTAAATTCAAGGTCAGCCTGGGCAATTTAGAACCTATCTTGAAATAAAAAAGGCTGGGGATGTAGCTCAGTGTTAGAGCACTTGCTTAGCCTGTATGAGCCTGTGGTCTAATCCTTAGCATCACAACAAAAAAGCTTTATTCATTATGCTGGGGGAAAGATTACATAAATAGGGACTTCCCCAGAAAAGTTAGATATATAGTTACTAGTCATCTGCTTAAGAATATCCAATAATTTCCCATAGGAAACCCCAAACTCTGAGAAGAGATTGTATCTTCTATCTCACATGCACCCTGGATTCAAGCCACATGACCTTTTAAGCTCGATTATATCCTACCCTCTCATGGCTCTGGAGCCAGATTGCTAGGTGTGATCTCCCAGCTCCTCTTAATTAGCTGTGTTACAATGATCACTCAATTGGATGTTTTACTTGCCATTCTGTATTTCAGTTTCTGTAAAATGAGAATAATATGAGGATTAAGTGCCATGATAACAAAACATTTAGTATAGTACCCAAAACATAACACTCAACAAATGTTAGCCATCATCCCTGTGTTGTAGGTCATATTTCTGCAATTTTATTAAAAAAAAAAAAAAAGTTTGGCCAGATGAAGTTTCTCAAGGCCGCATAACTGATGAAACTATTGCTCAGTGTGCTACAATTTTCTTGATGAGGGCAGGGAGCATCTTACTGCAGATTCTCCATTCCCAAATATGTCTGGCATCTAGTGCTCAAAAAAAAAAAAAACAAACAAACAAAAAACTCTTCTTGAGGTCAGATAGTCAAAGATCTAAAAAAAAAAAGAGAGAATGTTGCATCTAGAAAACGAGAAGGGAGAGTGTCGGGAGTGTTGACTGAAAATTTTTGTAGTGGTAAAGAAGAGGGAATCTAAAGGTAGTCCGAGGAAAAATAATTGGACCCACTGACCGAGATGACAGGAGGCTATCAATATCCTATCATTATTACAATATCTCTTAAAAAGGAGCACTGTCCAACGTTGGAAGGGACCGCTTTCCAATCACTACTCCTGCGGCGGCCTGACGCCGAGACTGGAAGACCTCTGGACTTCCAGGAAGTAAGGGAACCTGGCCAGGATGCACGGAAGCCGGCTGCTGAGGCCGGAGAGTGTCCCTTCGGTGACGCCCTGACTCTGCGGAAGCCGGGCGGTTTCGCTCGGCTCTCACCACGCTCCCGCCAACTCCACCCCGAGGCCACACTTTTCCCCTTGGCCCCGAGGGCGGGAAGCCCCGGGCAGCTGAACTAATCAAGTGGGCCTGCAAAGGCGGGGGAAACTTGGCCGGGCCGGAAACGCCGAGAACTGCTTCCGGGTCAGGGCGCCGGAGCCACCATGGAGACTCGCGGGGCTGCAGGGCTGACGGAACCGCGGGTCGGTGTCAGAACCGAGTGAAACGCTGCTTGGCCAGCACCGCCTGGGACACGCAGGCCGGTCCCGGGGAGCCGCGGTCGCCGCCATGTCGGTGCTGGGCGAGTACGAGCGGCACTGCGACTCCATCAACTCGGACTTTGGAAGCGAGTCCGGGGGTGGCGGGGACTCGGGCCCGGGGCCCAGCGCCAGTCCGGGGCCGCGGGCCGGCGGCGCGGCGGAGCAGGAGGAGCTGCACTACATCCCCATCCGCGTCCTGGGTCGCGGCGCCTTCGGGGAGGCCACGCTGTACCGCCGCACCGAGGTAGCGGCCCTCGGCTCTGGCTGCTGCCAGGCCGCCCAGAGCTTCTCCTTTCCCGTCCCCTCCTTTCCGACCTGCCCCCGGCTTCCTACGCGTCTTGAGCTCCTCGCATAATGTAGACACCCGCTAGGCATATGTGTCAGGGTCTTCACCACTCTTTCAACTCACCTGCAATAGGAATTGCTTAGATTACTGATTTCCACTAACCGGTCATTTTTGTTTACCCGGGGAACCCGAGCAAATCACAGAACTGTCCATGAGATTTAGTTTTCTCATCTTTGAATTAGACTTAGTGATCCCCACCTTAAACCTTACCTTTATATTTTTAAGGTTATTTCGTGAATCAAACGAAGGTGTGTGCAAACTGTAAGTGAAAGTGGTATAGGAACGAGAGGTGTTGCCAAAACTTCCTTCCTTTCCTTGTGTAGCTTTCAAAGGTCGGGGTGGGGAGGAGGGGTATTGCTTCCAAATACCTCTACTTGCCTAGTTTTATTATTTTTAAGTTCATAAATGATCACTCAATTGGATGTTCTTCTTGAAGATAATTGGGAAGATTGCCGTGTGTTAGTTTCTTCACTAGTGTTCATCTTGGGCTTCATGTGTGGAAAAATATTGGTTATTCTAAGTTCTTGGGGGAACAAGGACCCAATTGAGAACCCAACGTAAGCAGAATGATCTCAATCTCTTCTATCTACATTCACAATGTATATACATCCTTTACAAAAAATCCATGGATCACTGATTCCCAAGTTAGGAATGTATACTCAACTCCACAGTGGTTATTCTCCTTTCAAAAACCATAAATTAGATTTGGTAACTAGTGTCTTAAAACTTTAGCTCTAGGATAAACATTTAATGAGACTTGCTGAAGTAGCTGAAGGTGATTCATCCATAGGTGATCCATCTGCAGTTCTACTGTCTGTTCCAAGCCAGATTATCTTGATTTGGTTTTGTTTTATCTCCTGCTGGGGATTGAACACAGGGCTCTGCACATGCTAGGAAAACTGTTTAGCTCTGGAGCTATTCCCCACCCCAACCCCAGCATATGTTTAAGAAGAGGTGGTTGCAGGCGAATATCTTTAAATAATTCTTTTTATCCTAATGCCACATTACTGTAAAATGTTAGATTTACTGTTATTCTAAATTACATATTAGTAGTCTGTTTTCTTACTTGCCTTGAATAAGATGAATGTTGCCCACTTACAATTTAGAAGTAAATCTTGGACTGCAATTAGTTTCACATTTTCTTGCTCATCCCTTTCCATTATTACCCTATTAAATTGATTACTATTGTCTTGAGTTGAATTAGATCACACTTTTCCAGAATTGTAGAGCATTATCCTTATCACCAAATATTTCTTAGATCTGTGAAGGTTTTGTTAGAAGCAGCCCTTTCCCTCTAGAAGGTTATGTTTTAGTAAGAAGATAAGCCAAGAAAGAAAACAAAGAACATTTCAGTTGTATATGTATGTGAATGAAAACGAATAGATGAATGCCATTTAGGTATATGAATGCTTAAAACTAAGGGAACGGGGTTGCATTCAATAAGTATACAATAAAAGGCTTATTAAAGTTTCCAAAGAAGTTTCAAAGTCCTGACAGAGGCATTCAAAAGGATGAAGAGTGGTATGTGGCAGAGATGCTTGTGGGCTGGGAAGCAGTACTAGGAAAGAATTAGAGGTATGGTAAAAAGCAATAGACATGAGGAGCTACAGGTAAATTTTTATGAATAGAGAAAAGTGTGACAAGAGATCATAAAGGTGCACCATGGGGTCTGACCTATTTGGAAAGGGGTAAATGAAAAGCATTAGGAAAATCTTAATTTATAAAATTAGAGGCAAGCTTAGTATTTTCACTTTATAAGAAGCTGTGATCAGCTGTGGATGCTGTTATCCAGTTCTTTTTCAATATTCAAGCCCTGCAGCAGTCTCCTTTCTGACTAGCAGTCCTATAGGGTTCCTCAATAAAATCTTAAACGTCTGTACCCATCTTATATTTTTACTTGGAACTGACATCATGCAAATTAAGTATTACAATAAAGTAAGAAGTAAGATTAGTTCATTACTTTCTCCAGTTCTAAAGTAAATTATAATAATTATATGCAGAACCTTTAACTTACATCTGTTTAAAGGAAAAAAATTAAGAGTCGATCTTTGCCCCTCTAGGAAATTTTCTTTCTAGGCTTACAGATCTGGGCGTGGATTCATTCACTGCTGGGCAAGAGGAAAGCACAATGCTTCTGTTACTTGTTGCAGGATGACTCACTGGTTGTGTGGAAGGAAGTTGATTTGACCCGGCTGTCTGAGAAGGAACGTCGTGATGCCTTGAATGAGATTGTTATTCTGGCGCTGCTGCAGCATGACAACATCATTGCCTACTACAATCACTTCATGGACAATACTACCCTGCTGATTGAGCTGGAATATTGTAATGGTAAGGTAGAATTCAGTGGGACTTCCTCTGCAAGTCATTCTTATTATGTTCATACTTACCTTGAGGGGAAGAGTACAAGAAAAGGCATATATAGTGATAAAACTTTAAATGGATTTCTAGAGTTTAAGAGAAATTGTTCAGGCTTTGGAGAGTTTTGAAGTGTTGTACAAAATAAGGGAAGGGATTTTCCCTTAAGTATTCATATTCTTCCTTGTGATTATAGTTCCATCTTCAAAATGTTTTTTCAGTTGGATATTACATTTATTTTTCAAATTTTTTCCTCATGAAATAATATTAGCCATTAGGAACATAGTGTGGTTTGGTAACACTGGATATATTAATGAAATATTTTTTTAAATATTTATTTATGTATCTTTAGTTTTTTAGATGGATACATTAGTTTGTTTTTATGTGGTGCCTAGGATCGAACCCAGTGCCTCATGCATGCGAGGCGAGCACTCTACCACTGAGCCACCATATTAATGAAATCTTATAGGTGATAGTTATTTTTTGTTGACTTTAGCTAAAGTTATCCTGTTGCAAGGTGTCTAAAGATCATAACGGAATGACTGATTTCTTTGGATCATTTGTGTGTAAGATTTGAGTAGTGCCTGGTTAATAGGAAAATAGACAACCCATATCCCAAGTCCCTCTACTTTCTAGCTCTGTAACCTTGGACAAGAAACTTATCTGTGCCTTGGTTTCCTCAACTTAAAATGTGTTTATTGATAATTAGACTTGGTGACACACACCTCTAATCTCAGCAGTTTGGGAGGTTAAGGCAAGAGAATCATAAATTCAAGGATGGTCTCAGCAACTAAGTGAGACCCTATTTCAAAAACAAAAAGGACTGGGCACGTGGCTCAGTGGTTAAAAGCCCCTGGGTTCAATCCCCAGTAACAACAATAACAACATCAAAAAAGTTTGTGTCTAGCTATAGGGTTGTATTAGATCATATTTTAAAGCCCTTAGGGTAGGATTTGGAATGTAGCAAGTGTTTGTTACATCCTATACAAGAGAATACCCAAAGCCCCTTTCTGAGCTGCATGCTAAAGAGGTACCAGCATATTCTTCACTTATAACTTTTCTGCCTAGACTCTGGTCTTTCACAATTGTTTCTGGTTCTGATCAACTGTAAATATAGGATATTATAGTAGAAAATTTTTAAGTAACAGAAACCTTCTTAAGAAGTTAAGTTTCTGAACTATGTAATGTTTTGAACAACTAATAATAAAAAATTTTTTTAAAAAAAGAAGTTTCTTTGTGGTTAGGAGGAACCAGAACAAATGATACATTTATTGAAACTCCGAATTACTAAATAGCAGGGGAAGAGAAATTATAAAAATTTACCTAGGCTAAAGTATAAGTTGCAGCTGAAAGTAAGATCAGCCAGGATTGTTTGCAATCTGTATTAGTTTATAAAAAAGAAGCAAATTAATACTTATTCCACGGGAAGAAATTCATAAAGGGAGTAATGATTGGGAACAATCTAGGAGTGAATTTTTTGGGAAACCTTTTCAGTAGAAAGTGGGAAGAAAAGATTGTTCATATGCACCCTGTATGTAAAACATTGCATCACAGACATAACCCAGATGTTCTAGTAGTCACACTGTGAGAATTATAAAAATATTGCAGATTGGGCTGGGGTTGTGGCTCAGCGGTAGAGCACTTGCCTAGCACGTGCGAGGCCTTGGGTTTGATCCTCAGCACCATATAAAAATAAATAAATAAAATAAAGATATTGTGTCCAACCACAACTAAAAAGTAAATAAATATTTAAATATATATATATATATATATATATATATATATATATATATATATATATCAGATTCCTTCAAAAGAAGTCTAGAAAAGAAAATCATGACTTTGAAGCTATTTCATTATTAGATTACCATAGGAATGGTCTTTACTGTCATCTTTTCTAAAAATACCACACTTCCCATTTTTGTCTTGAATTAGGGAGGGGAATCTTCATATAATATTTCTGATAGTTTTGTACCCTATGAAAGGCCAAGAGAGAAGAAATTGTTTCCTTTAGAGAGGAAGTTGAATCCTTCATTTCCTTGTATCACCTGTTAAAACCCTATTAGATAGAGTCAAGATTTATCTCTATTAAGCATTCAAACCTGTTTCTTGTTTGATTTCAGGAGGGAACCTGTATGACAAAATCCTTCGTCAGAAGGACAAGTTGTTTGAGGAAGAGGTAATTTATATGTCTATGAAAGGAAGCCGAAATTATAAAGTAATTCTTACATTTTGGTTGTATATTTACTCTTCAAACAATGAAGAGTTTTTTCCCTTTTATTTAGACTCCTTCCAGACTCTGATATTCATTAAAAAGAAAACCTCTAACAAGAAACCTGTCTAGCTGCTTCCCGAACGTTTTACTTCTACATCATGGTTTACTCTGGGCTTTCTTTTCTGGTTCTGTTACTGCATGCTGATATGCACAGTATTCCAAACTTTTGCATTCTTCCTGAGTTTCTTATGAGAAAGAAACTGTTCCACTATATTTTATGACAATAGAACTGTTTTATGGTGACCTGCTTTTTCTTTTTATCCCCTACCACTTTTCTTTGCCTATTCAGTGTAGAAGCAAAAGATGTCAAGTCATGTTGAATCATAACTTCTGGGTGCGGTTTCCTTTTTTTGTTTGTTTGTTTTTATTTCATGTGTGTGTTTATTTAAATGAATTTTTTGTTTACAAAACAAATATAATTTATTTTGTCTCTGCAGATGGTGGTGTGGTACCTTTTTCAGATTGTTTCAGCAGTGAGCTGTATTCATAAAGCTGGAATCCTTCATAGGTAATGAATAAAGAAAATGTATGGATGGATTCTTCTTTTTTATTTTCTTTTTTTTTTTCCCTGCAGTACTAAGGGATTGAACCCAACGAGTTCTACTACTGAGCTATCTCCCCAACCCTTTTTGGTTTTTATTTTGCCCAGGCTCAAACTTATAGTTCTTCTGTCTCAGCCTCCTGAGTTGGTGGAATTATAGGCATACATCACTGGGCCCAGCTAGCACTTTTTTTTTCTTTACCAAACAAGAGTTTTTCCATTGATATAATCGGGACAGGAAAGAGTGAATAATGAGAGAGATTATCTTCACTTTTTGAGATTAAACCATGTTTGTGATCTAGGAAGAATCTCCTCAGTAGCTAGATACCACTTAGTCATTACCTGTAGAGGTATCTTAGAGTTTAGTAGATTAATTTATCAGGAGATCCGAGAAGGTAGTATGAGAAATAGTTTTAATCTGGATGGAATCCACAGTAAATGTTTTCTCTGTGCAATAATAATTAGCAATTTTTTTAATTCTGTAATTAAGCTATTTTAATTTAAATAAATGGCATTTTGTACGATTAATTGTGCAATTTTACTAAATATTTGATAAAAATTAGGGGGAACAAAACAGATTTCTATTTATTTCTATCTATTAAATAGAACCATTTTTAAGAGCATTTCTACATCATTATGCCCTTCTTTTGGGGATGGAGTACTGAAGATTGAGCCCAAGGGTACACTCAAACACTGAGCCACATCCCAGTCCTTTTTTTTTTTTGAGGCAGGATCTCGCTAGATTATCTAGGCTGGCCGCAAACTTGTGGTCCTCCTGCATCAAGCTCCCAAATAGCTGGGATTACCGACATGTGCTACCTCACCAAACTGTAGTTAGCATATAATTCTTGATGACTATTGGATGGCTACTGTTGCATGTTATTTTCTTTTTAAAAGTAACAAAGTATGTTGTTCTGGTTTATTCACATGTTTCAATAAAGGAAGCCAGAATCTAAACTAGGATTATTTTATTTTATACATGGTCAATCCATCTTTGGCAAAAGAGTCAGTGGCTTATTTAGATGATCTAAAACAGCCTAGTTGTGTTGATGCTTCTTCTTGCCTTAACAGATTTTTTAAAACCTTGACACCAATCAGATGCTAAATTGCAGTAATACTGAAATTGAAGGCATAAGTGGTAGTTGCAAAGATAGTGTATTTTACAGGAATTATGGTTGCCTGCAGCCCTATTTTCTCATCTGACTTTCAACTTTTCCTAATGGCATCATTGGTATGGGATACACTCCATGTTGTGAAAGTCCTGTGTAGTGAAGTTAATTCTTTGCTTTTACTCCCTAAGTCCCCTTTTCAGTGTTAAAATATGTGTGAAAGTGATGATCACTGTGCAGGATATTTGGGGCTTCATAACAGAATCTGACCAGTGAGAATACATTCATATTTACTGTGTATTAATCTTGGCAGGATGTTTGGGTAAGATAAAACTGTTGGCTATATGGACTTCATACATGGCATCTTTTTTTTTCCCCAGAGATATAAAGACATTAAATATTTTTCTGACCAAGGCAAACCTGATAAAACTTGGAGATTATGGCCTAGCAAAGAAACTTAATTCCGAATATTCCATGGCTGAGACGGTGAGTACAGGTTGCCCTTCTTGTTTTTTTTTTCCTTTTCCTTTCTAGCTCCGTGAGAACCATACCCCCTGAATCTTGCACATTTTCCCAAGACACTCTCTCCCTTTTTTTTTTTCCCCCCCTTGATTATACTAGTGATTGAATTCAGGGTGCTCTGCCATTGAGCTGCATCTCCTGCCCTTTTTATTTTTTGTTTCAAGACAGTGTCTTGCTAAGTTACTGAGACTGGCCTAAATCTTGCAGTCCTCCTGCCTCAGCCTCTAGAGTCACTGGGATTTTAGGTGTGTGCCATAACATTAACATTGAAAATATTTTTTTTCTTTAATATATGTATTTTTAGTTGTTGATGAACCTTTATTTTATTCATTTATTTATATGTGGTGCTGAGAATCAAACCCAGTGCCCCCCACAGCTAGGCAAGAGCTCTGCTACTGAGCCACAATCTCAGCTCAAAAATCTTTTTTGTGTGTGTGTTTCCTTTGAATTCTGCGTCTGGTTCAGAAAGAAGCCTATGTTACAAGCAAAGCCTAATGCCCAGCGAAGAATCAGTTCTTTAATAATCACAGTCTGAATTAGAAGACTCCCTTCATACCTGATTTTGATTGGGTAAAAAGAAGACACAAGATACCGGGATCTTATCTTTTTAGTAATTATAAAATCCAATTATGGCCAGGCACGGTGATGTACTCCTGTATTCCCAGTGGCTTGGGAGGCTGAGACAGGAGGATCTCAGTTCAAAGACAGCTTCAGCAACTTACTGAGGCACTAAACAAGTCTCTAAATAAAATAGAAAATAGAGCTAGGGATGTGGCTCAGTGGTCGAGTGCCCCTGAGTTCGATCCCCGGTTCCCCCCAAAAAATATACAGTTATGATTATTCTGCTTTTATAATGCTCTATCCTTAAAAGAACTTGGAAATGTAAGTTAAAAAATTATCTTTATCCTGATGTTTTTTGGATAACATCGAGATATGCCTGCAATATGTGTGTGTTTATTTTTTATTTATTTACATGAGTTCTCTTATTATTCTAGGGTTGTGAGTCCCTGTTTCAGAAACTCATTTGTTTGTATGATGAAGGCCAAATGAAGCTTCTAAACATGCAATTATATCCTTATATGGATTTTTCTCATCAAAAACAATCTGATAGGGCTGGAGTTCTAGCTCAGTGGCAGAGCGCTTGCCTAGCATGTGTGAGGTACTGGGTTCGATTCTCAGCACCATGTATCAATAAATAAAATAAAGGTCCATTGGCAACTAAAACAATATTTAAAAAAAGAAAAGAAAAGAAAAGAACAATCTGATAAAACCCAGACTTGACTTTTCTAAGCCATTTAAATGCAATGAATTATCTGAAAATTTATAAAGGACATGTATGTCATCTGAAAAAAATTTTTTTTTTTTCTCTGTTGAGTGAAGATGGCTTGTCTCGAATAGTGGGAGAAGCAGACTTTTGTACAGAACACTTTATTTCTGAACGCATTCTTTTGTGTGTGCGTGTGTTTTTAAATTATTTATTTATTTATTTTACATGAACTCTTATTATTATTTTTTTGCATTACAATGCTTAATACACCTTTATACCTCAATTTATTATATTTCTGTATATAAGATATGTTCCAAACTCATTCTTAAAGCCAGACAATCTTCAAATTCCAAAGAAATTTACTAGCTACTTTAGTATCACACATGTTGAATTGAGCCATGTAAAAAGTTTCATTCCAGTGCATTTCAGTTAGAACTTTTAACCCATTCATTCAATTACCATCTCCCCACTGCCAGTTCACATTAGTGAATTTTTACTGAGACTATCCCAATCCGTGTGAAGTCTTCACTAGGCCTTGAATGCCTAAAGCCTGTGTGAACTAGGACTCAGAGCCATTTAGCCTTCCAAGTTAACCATAATGCCCTTATCACAGATTGCTCTTTTATAACTGACCCAAGAAATTTAATATGAATAAAATTTTTCCCCATAGTGGCATCATCTCATAAAAACCATTTTGTGATCTATTAGTGAATATTTTATGTTATTATCACTAGTTTATAGGAAATTTAACTTAACTAAAATGTTAATATAGTTACTTCAAAAGAGAAATTATTTTTTGTTTTTTTTCTTTGTTGTTCAGCTTGTGGGAACCCCATATTACATGTCTCCAGAGCTATGCCAAGGAGTGAAATACAATTTCAAGTCTGACATCTGGGCAGTCGGCTGTGTCATTTTTGAACTGCTTACACTCAAGAGAACATTTGATGCTACAGTAAGTTGGTATATTATCCCACATTGTCTTTGCAAGTGATATAGATTGGTTAAGTGAATCAACTTCATTTATCTCTGAGCTTCTGATTTCTTAAACAGAAATCACTGTATTAAAAAATAACCTGTAGTCGGGCACCAGATTAGTATTATATCATTGAAATACTGTAGACTAGATTTATCTTCAACATGAATTCCCTACTGAAATGACCATAATCAAGCAGTTTGAGCACTGTACTTGAATATGTTGACTCTGATTTTAAAACTGGCTCTAGCATCACCTATGTGATGCTCCAGTGTGGAAAAGTTATTTCAATTCTTATGCTCTAGCTACATCTTTTGTTTGTTTGATTGTTTGTTTGTTTGTTAAATGTGGTGCTATGGGTTGAACCCAGAGCCTCATATGTCTAGGCAAGTATGCTACCAGTGAGCTACATCCCATCACCCTTTAAAATTTAATACAGAGTCTTATTAAGTTGTTCAGGCTGGCCTCAAAAACTTTGATCCTCCTAACATAGCCTCCTGAGTAACCGGCATTACAAGCTTAAAGACATGTACCACCAACCTAGCTTACATAATTTTCTCTTTTTTAAAAATAAAGCCTGATATGAAGGAGCACTTCTCAAACTTTAATATGCATTCAAAATCACCTAGACATCTTGTTACAGTACAGATTCTATTTCATCAGTGTTCAGGTAGAGATCTGATATTCTGGATTTCAAACAAGCTCCCAGATGATGCTGATGATGCTTCTCCATGGACCACCACTTGAATAGCTAAAGTGAATTCATGTTTATTCTCCTTCAATCAGATGTGAGAATTTAGGCAAATAATTTCTTGAATCCTCTATTTTTTTTTAATCTATGGAAACAACATATATCTCCCAAACAATATATAGTCCCTCATGAAAATTTTTAGATATTGTATGTGAAACGTGAAAATGTAATATTAAAAAAAAGAAAAATGCAAATATAAGATAATGCAAACTCATTGGTCTTTTATGAGACCTATTTATTTTTCTAAATCCTGAAGTTTGTTCAGGTGTATCATCTAATTCTCCAGAATAATATAGTGGAAGAAAAATGACTTTTGGAGTCAGACTTTAGTTGGAGGATGGCTTTCTTTTTACTTTAAGTGTAATTTTGAGCAAGTTACTTTATATCTCTGAGCCCCATTTTTCTTGTGTAAAAATTGATAATGATAATAACTTCTTTTTGTTGTCTTTGTAAACATAAAAAAGATCATATATGTAATATACCTACTGGTCTTTCAATTAGATTGTTATAATATTAGAATAATTTTATTCTTATCACTTTGTTATTATAAGATATCTGTGTATTATTTACTCTATTGCCTGTTCAGCTATTATTTAGGATATATACATTAGGAGATAAATTAGTTGGCAGGAAAGTTACTTAAAGTAAAGAAGCATAACTAATCATGCTTTCCTTTACCTTGGGATTCAGTTGAAGATTATAATATATTCTGAGCAATATGCTGTTGGCTATATAGTTAGTCGTAGTTTTAATCTCCATTTTGGCCATTTAGCTTAATTTCATCTGATTGCAGCATTGCATCCTCAACCATTTCTTGATGATGCATACTGATAGTTATAATATTATATCAGACCTAATATAGAACAATTGCCAACTCTTTAAATAATGGTCACAGACATCCCTGAGCCCCTGCTGGTAGATTATAATGTCATCTTTATATAACCAGGAACAATGCAGTCATCATTTTCTCATAGAACCCACTCAACTTGTGTGTGAAGATCGTGCAAGGAATCCGTGCCATGGAAGTCGATTCTAGCCAGTACTCTTTGGAATTGATCCAAATGGTCCATGCGTGTCTTGACCAGGTAGGTCTGACTTATATATTGATTTCAGTTTTACATTTTCCTTTTCTAGCCTCAGTGTTAAGGATATGGCATAGATACAGACCATACAGAACCACATTACCTTCCCAGATAAATGCATTCTGGTATTGGCAACTCATGGTAGTTAAATACTCCTACTAACAAATTTTTACATTATTTTGCATTATTTTACATTATTTTCAACATGGTTTTGCCATCCAAAATGTGCTCTATATTTTACAGTCAAAATTTATCTCTATAAATTGATTTTGTAAACTGTAGTCAGAGATGTAGAGTTTCTGATTGTAGTTTTTCTCTTTGTTTGGTACTGGGGATTGAACTCAGTAGGGCTTAACCACTGAGTCACATCACCATTTCTTTTTATTTTTTATTTTGAGACAGGGATTCCCTAAAGTACTTAAGCCCTTGCTAAGATGGTTGGTGAGGCTGACCTTGAACTTGTGATCCTTCTGCCTCAGTCTCTCAAGTTGCTGGGATTACAGGTGTGCATCACCACACCTAGTTAGAGTTTTATAAGTTAAAAAAAAAAAGAATTATGTTTCTGGATACCACCACAGACCAACAGAATTTCTGTGGCTAAAGTTTAAAAATCTTTATTTGTAATATGCACCCCAGTGATTATTCTGTGCCACATGTATTGAGGTTTGAGAGCTACTACCCTAATTGAACAAGTGAAGAACATGCATTGTAAACATCCTTTTTCATGTACAGTGTTGATGGTGACAAGAGGATAGGCATTAAACATGGAATGTGACGTAAAGAAATGGTGATTTTTGAAACAAAAGGCTAATGTACAGTAATCTTTGACTAATTAATCTTCATCCTTATAAGACAAATTAAAATTTCTCATTAGATCCGATATTACCCATTTCCTTTAAGTGAAAACTAGTCTATTTTTACTTTTTAGGATCCTGAGCAGAGACCCACTGCAGATGAACTTCTGGATCGTCCTCTTCTCAAGAAACGCAGGAGGTAAAGTACAAATATATCACTTTCATTAGAGATGTTTGACTGCTATAGAGACCGGATCAGAATTCTACAGGAAAAGGTGGAGTTTCCTAACTTGGCCACTCTAGTGTTATTTTCTACCAACACCTCTGCTCCCATTGCCTGAGAGTGATTTCTAGCTTTTACCTCCTTAACTATTTGCTCTAAATTTGTACTGATGAGACCCAAAAGCCCTCTACTCCCTCAGTATGTGGATTTTCTATTCTACAGTGTAGGCATTGATACCCATAAGTTTGTATCTAAGTTCTGGCATTATCTTTGCCAAATTATTTAACAACTCTTTTTATTGTTGTTGTTGTTTGTTTTATCCACTATAGTGGATAAGTGAGGTAAGGTGAGGAATAAAGAAGGTAACACATATAAGGTGCTCAGTCTGGGACCTGGTAGAAAGTGCTTAGCAGCTATTGGATACAGATGTGAATTTGGGCATTTTTTTTTTTTTAGGTATGATTGTTGAGATGGTGTGTTGGAGTTGGGCAAGTGTTCTTTATGTACTTCTTGTCCACTTCTTGAGGTCAACCTTTATTAACTTCTGACAAACTCTTTGCTGAGATTTTTTCTGTCCCAGGTCTCTAGAGGTAGGCAGGCTATCCTTCCTGTAGGAGGCTTCAAGCCTCAACTTAAAGGAGAGATATTTTTTATCTTTTCTTAAATTTTCTAATTTGTATTTCACCTTATTATATTATTTTTGCCCCACTACACTTTATATCTTTTTTTAATGTATCCTTCAAATATTCAAACATTTACTGTATGCATTTTTATAAGTCTTGTTCTTATATGTATTAAGTATGTACCTCATTCCATAATTGTTGCTATTTGTCTTTATTCTGTTGTCATTTAATTAATCTTTTATTAGTGTTTTTGTGTTTATTTAAATGTATTATTATTTTAATCAGTGCAATAATTGTTATTTTTATGGTATAGTGTGACATTTTAATAAGTATACATAATGTGTAATGATCGGATCAAGGTATTTGACATGTCTTTCACCTCAGACATTTATCATTTCTTTATGTTGGAAACCTCCAAACTCTTCCCTTCTAGTTATTTTGATATATTCAATTAATTTTGTTAATCATAGTTATCCTACTATGCTATGTAGAACATTAGAAGTTATTCCCCCTATCCAGCTGCACCCCTGTACCCATTAATTATCATCTCTCCATCCCTTGATCATCCACATTCTTCCTAGCTCCGGTAATTACTCTTCTGTTCTCTACTCCTTTAAGGTAAACTTTTTAGCTTCCAAATGTAAGAAAATGCAGTGCTTATTTACTTTGCTTGATTTATTTCACTTATAATACCCTCCAGTTCCATCTGTTTTCCTGCAAATGCTGATAAATAGTATTCTACTCTGTGTATAGTCTACATTTACTTTATCTATTTACCCATTGATGGATACCTATGCTGATTTTATATTTTGCCTATGAGGAACAGTACTGCAATAAACATGCAAGTGTAGGTGTCTCTTTGATATACTGATATCAATTCCTTTGTGTATATACCCAATAGAAGGATAGCTGGATCAAATGGTAGTTCTATTTTCAGTTTTTTGAGGAACCCCCATACTCTTTTCCATAATGTCTGTGCTAATTTATTGCCAATAACAGTGTCTGACAAGTTTCCCTTTCTCTACATCCTTGCAGCATTTGTTACTTTTTATATATATTTTTAATAATAGTAATTCTAACTGGGGTGGTTTTGATTTGCATTTCTCTTATGATTAGTAACGTTGAGCATTTTATCCTGTATTTACTGGTCATTTGAATATCCTCTTTCAAGAAATGTATATTCAGATCATTCACCCATTTTTTTTCATCTTCTTTTTTTTCTCATTCACCCATTTTTTAAATCAGATGATTTGAGGGGGTTTTTTGCCATTGACTTGTTTATGTTCCTTATATATTCTGGAATTAATAGTTTGCCAATATTTTCTCTTCATACTATTGATTGTTTCCTTTCTGTATAGAAGTTTTTTAGTTTGATATAATCCCATTGGTCAAATTTTGCTTTTTTGCCTATGCTTTTAGGGTAAAAGCCAAAAAGATAGACCAGTGTCCTGAAGTATTTCTCCTTTATTTTCTTTTGATAGTTTTATAGTTTGGGGGCTTATATTATGCATTTGATCCATACTTAACCTCTAACCAGTGTTTTGGTGCCTAGAATTATGTGTCATACTCCAGATATAGCACTATGACCTTCCATTAATGTTTTATGCTAATTCAAGCAATATCACCCTTTGGGGTTGGTTAAACACATTTATAAATTTTATCTAGTTTATACCCAACAATATAGTCAATGTTTAAATCTCTTATTGACATACTCCAATTAATAAATTTTTTATGGTACTAGGAATTGAACCCAGGACAGTTCTATCTCTGAGCTACATCCCCAGCCCTTTTACCAGTTTATTTTATTTTGAGATGGGGTGTTATAAAGCTGCCCAGACTGGCCTTGAACTTATGATTCCCCCTACCTCAGCCTCCTAAATCACTGGAATTATAGGCATATGCCACTGCAGCAACCCAGTTTTGGACAAAATAGAGTTTATTCAGTACAGTAAGCAATTTAACAAGTGTCAATTTTGTAGTTTCACTCAGTGGAATATGCCAACATCTATCAGTACTAGTAGAACCTTAGTTGATAATTTTTAATTGAAATTTTTATTGAAATAATTATATATTTACCTGGAGTACTTTGTTGAAATTTTGTACTTTGATGAAAAAAACATAAGATAGAAGTTTTCTAGACAGAGAAAATAGCATAAGCAGAAGCACAGACACAGGGAGTTGTGGGAAATGTTCAGGAAACACAAAGCCCTATTTGGCTATATTAGCTGTTCTAGACCTGGGGCTCTCCATGCAAAATCTCAGGAGCTTTCACAAATTACTGATACCTGAGCACTGTCCTAATAGTTCAGCTATGATAGATTTAGTCAGAATGATAATCCTGGACCAGAACATAAGGTGTAAGTGGGAAAAAAAAAAAGACCACAAAGAGAGAATCTTGAATACCAGGCTTAATTTAAAAATAGTACAGAAGTATTGGGCATTTAGGAGAGAACAGCTCACATGATGAGAGGCGTACTTAAGGAAGAGTCTTTTAGCAGTACTAGGATTGATGTTAGGTTAGCAAAGAACTGATGAAAGTGGGCAGGACTATGGTGAGTGAGGCTGACTAGGAGGCATTGCCACAGTATAGATAGGAAATAAAGTTGCCCAGAGCTAAGGTGATGAGACTGGACAGGAAGAGTTGTGTTTTATAAAAGGTGCTGTATAGGTAAGATCCATAGAATTGAAATGTTGAAGAAAGGAGGAGAAAGGAGTCAAAGATGATTGAAGAAGGGGGAAGGAGTTTGCCAGTTACAGAAATAAGCAAGTCAGAAAGCAAAGCTGGTTTAGGAAAGCGATAATAAGCCCAGGTTTAGAGATGCTTCATTTGGGGAGTCAGTGGGCAGACCAGATGGAGATATCTATCATGTGCATCAGAGGTTCTTGAGGCTCCCTGCTCCAACCTAGACTGGTTCTCAGAAATAGAAAGCAAATGGCCCCAAACTACTGACTCTCTTTAATATAATCAATTGTCTAATGCAAGATCTTATAACTGTTTTGAGTTGTATCAAGGTACCTTCCTAAAAATATTGTCATATTGTAGGATGCATTCAGTTAATAAGATTAAATCTGTGAAATGTATTAAAGAGACACTGTTGCCTTATAGAAACCTATCATTTCAAAATTCATGTGTCTTTTGCTTTTCTTTTGGTAGAGAGATGGAAGAAAAAGTCACTCTGCTTAATGCACCTACAAAGAGACCAAGGTAATGGCTCAAGAAACTATTAATACTATATGTACTGAATTTCCACCAGAAGGGTCTTACGTAGGTCTATGCATTATTTGATCCCAGTGGCCTTTGATATCTTCTTAGGAGCCACCATGTGCTTAAATTTCTGAAAAGAGAGCCATAATTTCACCTTACACTAACTTGGACAGCATTACATTGATGAACGTTGAAAAGTATAGGTGTTATGGATCAGACTAGAAACTGGCTTGGCCAAACTGTGATGAATACCTGAGGCAGGAATTGCAAAGCTTGCTGTGAGTGAGGATTGAAAGAATATATTTTTTTTTATATCATAATTGGCAGTTCTTTTAAGGGAACAGACTGGAAGCAGTCTTCTTTGAGATTGTTTTTATGTTAAATGTGCCTTTGTTCTGGGGGTTGCTGGCAGGTCAAGCACCGTGACCGAAGCACCCATTGCTGTGGTAACATCACGAACCAGTGAAGTCTATGTTTGGGGTGGTGGGAAAGCCACCCCCCAGAAACTGGATGTCATCAAGAGTGGCTGTAGTGCCCGGCAGGTGTGCGCTGGGAATACCCACTTTGCTGTGGTCACAGTGGAGAAGGAACTGTACACCTGGGTGGTAAGTGAAAGCTAAGGACTTTTGAAACAGTGCTGTCAGCCTACTTGTTTCCTGGGCCATGATGTCGAAGCATTTTGTTAGTCATATGATGCAGGCTGCAACATGGGGTGATGGAACTTCAGCTCTACGAGAGCAGAAATTCTCTTTGGATCACTGATGTATCTAGCATGCCTGGTACATACTAGGTTACCTGTCAGCATTTTCTGAATGAATGAAAGAGGCAAAGAAAACTAAAAGAGCCCTAGCTTTGGACTCAGAAGAAGACCTGGCTCTTCAATTTATAGTTAGAGGATGTACTGTGTTTCATTATTGTGAGGTTCAGAGCAGCTAGTATTTGTGAAATAGCTTTACAATGAAATAATGCACTATGTCAGGAAACCTGACTCCCACTGGTGGTTGAAGATGCCTAGGTATATCTTACATAGAACTTTTCTTGGTTGCCTTCTTACCTGCTTAACACAGTGAGTTTGCTGTTTCTTACCTCCCATTTTCTCCTTCACCTGCAGTGAAACCTTCATCCCTATCACTCAGTTGAGTCTTGACAAAATAACTGATAAACACAACATCTGTTTTATTTTGGCAATTTTCTTTTTGGTTTATGGATTTTTTTTTTATTTTCATGGGACAAGGGATTGACGCAGGGCATTCCACTACTGAGCTACATCCCCAGCCCTTTTATTTTTAATTTTGAGATAAGGTCTTGCTAAGTTGTCCAGGCTGGCCCTGAATTTGTAATCCTGCCTCAGCCTCCCAAGTTTCTGGGATTACAGTTGTGCACCTTTGTGCCCAGCAAAACGGATGCATTTTAGCCCTTACCTTATTAACCTCTTGGCAGTGTTTGCCATCATGTACCACTCCCTTTTCTTTCTTTCTTTTTTTTTTAATTAGTTACTCAAGACAATACAACGATCTTGACATATCATACATTTGATTCAAATGGGGTATGAATTCTCATTTTTCTACGTGTACAGATTGCAGGTTCACATTGGTTATATAGCCACGTATATACATACAGCAATACTAGTGTCTGTTGTATTCTGCTGCCCTCCTTATACCCCCCTCCCCTTGACCACTCCCTTCTTGAAGCATTGTTTTCACTCACCTTCCTTGGGAGCAGGTTCTAGTGGCTTCCCCCTGTCTCTTTGGCCTTGCCTTCTCAGACTTATTTCATGCTGCTGTTTCTTTACCCTACCTTATATTCTGCCCTTGGTTCCTTTCCCTGAGGGAATTCATTGTTTTCAGTGGTTTAACAATATCTTCTCCATGAGGACAGGGACTAAAGTTATCTCCCATGAGTGAGGAGTAGGCACATAACTGTTGAGTGGTTGAAAGAATGATATGGCCTTGGTTATAGAGTGATGACTTACTGTTATTTCCTAAGACCCTGTTCCTTAAAGAATTAGCCCCTGGGGGTGGCTTCCAGAAGTAGAGTGAAACCAGTGCTTTAAACATCATTTGTATAAGGACTTATAGTTGAGTCCTTGAAAAGAATTACTTATCTCTGTAAACTGTAGAAAAGTCACGAAGACTGTTCTCAGTTCTGTATAGCAGCATTCTTTGATGTTGCCAGATTTTTTTTATAACTGTTCTGTGTTTCAAGTAAACTGACCAAAATTATCCATAATTAAATATATAGTTCACCTTAGAGTTCGTTGAAGAACAAGAGAAATGTATCCTTTTAAGGCTTGTTAATACTTTTTAAAATTTTTAACCCGTGGGCAGTGATTTTATACTACCTACTATTAAAAGGTTTAATCCCCTTACCCATTTTTTTTCTAATTTCTAAATTTCCAGCTGTTTTTTTCCTTTTTATTTTTTTATAAGAGGTTATATAGCTGGGTGCAGCTATAATCCCAGATACCCTGGAGGCTTAGGCAGAAGATCTCAAATTTGAGGCGAGTCTGGGCACTTTGGCAAGACTCCCATTTCAGAAATAAAAAGGGCTGGAAATGTAGCCCTGAGATAGAATTCTAAGTTTGCTCCCCAGTACCATCCCTGCACCACACTCACACTCGAAGAAGAAGAAGAAAAGAAGTTATTTTAAAGATAACCTGTTAGTGTGAAAAGTTAAAATTTCACAAGACCTCTTTATTTCACAGAACATGCAAGGAGGTACTAAACTCCACGGTCAGCTGGGCCATGGAGACAAAGCTTCCTATCGACAGCCAAAGCATGTGGAAAAGTTGCAAGGCAAAGCTATCCGTCAGGTGTCATGTGGTGATGATTTCACAGTCTGTGTAACAGGTAAGCCATCAACAGAAAGCATCTGTGTACATTTAATGTAGAGATTGTGCTTAAATCTGTGTAGTTTTAGTTAAGATTTTAACCCCCCCACACACCATAAAAAAAAAAAACAGTGTTCAAGGAAACAAAGACATTGAGAAATATGCCCATTAATAACTATAATCCCAATTTGCTGTTCTTAGGGAATGATTGGCAAGGAGAAGATAGACGGAATAGGTGGATAACACAGAAGAGGCAGGATTAGGAGAAATACTTTGTGTATCCCATTTGAGGGAGAAAATAATCTTACTACCTCTGGAGGCTGTGGATAACAAAATCAGGATCAAGAGCTAAATTTAGTTTTGGGCTAGTCATTACTCATTTTATGATTCCTGGTACTTCTCTTTCTATCTCTAAGATAGAGTCCTTAAACATGACAGCACTGCCATTTTTAAACTATTTATTACAGTAATAATAAACACATACAGCTCTAGACTTAAATACAGACAGCTCTAGACTTACATAATGTGTCCTTTTGGTTTCTCTGATACAGTAAACTCATGTGCGATCATTGGCTGGATCCTCATTTTAGCCCTGTCCAGCTTTCTGATTGGACAAAATAAGTCAGTCCTGTGATGAGTTGTTTGCTTTTCTTTTGCAGATGAGGGTCAGCTCTATGCGTTTGGATCAGATTATTATGGCTGCATGGGGGTGGACAAGGTTGCTGGCCCAGAAGTGCTAGAACCCATGCAATTGAACTTCTTCCTCAACAATCCAGTGGAACAGGTCTCCTGTGGAGATAATCATGTAGTGGTTCTGACACGAAATAAGGAAGTCTATTCTTGGGGCTGTGGAGAGTATGGTAAGTGTAGCCTTACTTCTGTTTACTTCTTCACCGGTGCACAATCCAACTTCAGATTTGCATGCATCCAAACATATCACGTAGCTCTATTCCAGGGCTGAGGTTATGGCTCAGCAGTAGAGCACTTACATAGCAGACTCGAGGCCCTGGGTATGATCCTCAGCACCACATAAAAATAAATAAGTAAAATAAAGGTATTGTGTCCAACTACAACTAAAAAATAAATATTTAAAAAAGAGAGAGAAGTGTTAATTTCATTAAAGAGACTCTATAGAACATCTTCATTTGAAAGAAGGCTGTAATCCGAATTACTTTGTTTCTTATTTGTGTTTCAGGACGACTAGGTTTGGATTCAGAAGAGGATTACTATACACCACAAAAGGTAAAGTCAGAAGCAGCTTCTTCCTAAAGCTTATCTAAGTCACATAGGAAGAACACATTCTTTTCCTGACTCTTCATATCAAGTTGTTAATTTCTAAAGTATTTTGACAATCTAGGATTCCTGGGTTAGTGTTGTGTGGTCTTATCATCTGACTAAATCATAGTGGATACAACTACTGTGGACACAGTAGAGTCACATCTTATTCAGGGATGAGAGCTAAAATCAGCATATACAGAGGAAAAATCACATAATGTTAAATATACATAGAAAACTCCTCAGGAATATACTGGAAAGCAATATACTATCTCTTAACACAGCCATTTTCTCCTCGTGGTTTCTATGTTAAACACCAGATGAAATAGTTTTTGTTTAGGAATCATGTGGTGCAAATCGTCATATCTAATTACTCAGCACTTCAAGAGCTGGCACTTTGAGAGGCTCACTGGAGTTGAAACCAGCTGAGGGAAAGTCATCTTCTTCTCTCACACCCCCCTGGGGCATAGGCTGGAGGGGTACCTACCATTGACTATACCATTTACTGTTACAAATTTTTATTTACATTTAAAAAATTAACTGGTGTTTTTGTGGGGTCCACCCTCGATGGGATTCACAGAAGTTGCTCTTCTGAAAGCTATCGTAGAAATTGTGAGGTTTGAGGCTTCAGGTTTCATACACATTAACTAAAGAAGAATGTGGGCATTTGCAAATGTTCTCTCGGATATTCGGATGCTAACTCAAAATAAGTGGGGGGAGGTAGGGAAGAATAGAAGTACTTTGGATTAGACAAAGGGGAATGAAGGGAAGAAAAAGGGAATGGAAATAGGGAAGATAGTAGAATGAATTGGACATAACTTTTTTATGTTCATATATGAATACACGACCAATGTATTTTCATATCCTGTGTAACCAGAAGAATGGGAAGTTATATTCCATATATGTATAATTTGTTCAAGTACATTCTACTGTCATGTATAACTAAAACAATTTTTTTTTCCAATCCAATTCTCTTATTATTATTTTTTTTTAAATAGAGTGAGAGAGAGGGGAGAGAGAGGGGAGAATTTTTAATATTTATTTTTTAGTTCTCGGTGGACACAACATCTTTGTTGGTATGTGGTGCTGAGGATCGAACCCGGGCCGCACGCATGGCAGGCGAGCGCGCTACCGCTTGAGCCACATCCCCAGCCCTCTCTTATTATTTTTATTTATTTATTTTTTAAAGAGAGAGAGAGAGAATTTTTTAATATTTTTCAGTTTTTGGTGGACACAACATCTTTGTTTATATGTGGTGCTGAGGATCGAACCCAGGCCGCACGCATGCCAGGCGAGCGCACTACCGCTTGAGCCACATCCCCAGCCCTTATTATTTTTATTATGGCTCAGATTTTCCCTTCTTTTACCAGTGTGTGGATAAAATAGCAGTAACTCCACTAGATATTTGGTTTCATGATTTGAGTTTATATTCACCATCTTACCACTTGTCTCATCTGTTTTTTATGTATATATATATATATATTTTTTTTTTTTTTTTTTTAAGCTACACGTGACATTTCAATGATCTTGGCAATTCATACATTTGAATCATTGGGGTATAATTTCTCATTTTTCTAATTGTACAGATTGCAGAATCACACTGGTAATAGAGTCACCTATATACATACAGCAATCATAATTTCTATTCTATTCTGTGCCCTTCCTATCCCCCCTCCTCCTCCCCTTCCCTCCCATCATTTCTCTCTATCCAATCTAATGTGATACACTTTTTTTTTCTTTTTCTCATCACAACATCATACATGTATTCTCTATAACAATGAGGTTCTCCTTCTATCTTCCGTGCAACTCCCCTTCTCCCTCTTTTTCCCCTCCCACCTCTCTTCTGGTAGTGGTAGTCTTCTTCTCATGCCCTTCCTCCCTATCTCATTTTGAGTCACCCCCCTTATATCAGAGAAGACATTCGGCATTTGTTTTTAGGGATTGGCTAACTTCACTTAGCATAATCTGCTCTAATGTTATTCATTTCCCTGCAAATGCCATGATCTTGTTAGTTTTTAGTGCTGAGTAATATTTCATTGTGTATAAATGCCACATTTTTTAATCCATTCATCTATTGAAGGGCATCTAGGTTGGTTCCACATTCTACCTATTGTGAATTGTGCTGCTATAAACATTGATGTGGCTGTGTCCCTGTAGTATGCTCTTTTTAGGTCTTTTGGGTATAGCTTTCCTTTGGAAAGCTGGGAATGGAACCACCATTTGACCCAGCTATTCCCCTTCTTGGACTATACCCCCCAAAATATATTTTTTTAAAGTTTTTTAAAAAAGAATGTGGGCATTTGGAAGTCCTAGCTGCCATCTCGGTACCCTGTCACCTCTCTTATAAAATGAACAGCTTGGAACCCACAGGTCCATTAAGTATCTTTGATAGCTGTCAAGAAGCCCTCCGTCTTAGAGGATGAAACCAGTAAGGAATTCAAGCATCTCCTTTCCAGCTTGTTTTGAGCAGTCTTCTCCTTCAGAAAAGTAGGATCTGTTACTAAAACAGACAGGGACTGTCTAGTTGAACTGGAACTGCCACTTTTTTCTTCCTGGTTGGAAATACTAGCCCTTAAGCTGATGGGCAAATCTGAAGAGAATGGACCATCCTCTACTTCCCTGTTGTCATTTTCTTCCAACTTACTTTTCCCTTACAGGTAGATGTTCCTAAGGCCTTGATTATTGTTGCAGTTCAGTGTGGCTGTGATGGGACCTTCCTGCTGACCCAGTCAGGCAAAGTGCTGGCTTGTGGACTTAATGAATTCAATAAATTGGGTCTGAATCAATGCATGTCCGGAATCATCAACCATGAAGTGAGTGCCCCCTCCAAGTTCCAACCATACCATTAGAACTTCTCCTGGTTGAAATTTCTTTGGGATTATTGGTCAGTGACCATGGAATTTGATTTAAGAATGAAGCTGGTTGAGGTTTTAGCTCAGTGGTAGAACACTTGTCTAGAATGTGTGAGGCACTGGGTTCGATCCTTAGTACCACATAAAAAAATAAATGAATAAAATGAAGGTATTGACTGTCCATCTACAACTAATATATATATATATATATATTTTTTAAATAAGGTGATGATCTCACATATATTATTTTTAGCAAAAGAAACCAGCCACACAAAAAAAATACATACTGTATGATTCCAATTAGGTGAACTTCAAGAACAGGCAGAATTAACTTCGGACGGCAGAAATCAAAATAGTGGTTATCTCTGGGTGAAGGGGTCTGGTTATTGTCAGAAGAGGTGAGAGGGATCCTGGGATGATGGGAATGATTTCTGTCTTGATCTGGTGGTGGTTTTACAAATGGGTACACACAAAAAAATATATATCATGCTGTGTGGTATTTTGCAGTATATCATGCCTCAGTAAATAAATTGATTATAAAGAACAAAATGAAAAAATTCAGATTATACCTTATTATTAAAAGAGGAACAAGAAAATTAACATGAAAGAAAGTAACATTTCCATTCATTACCCCCTGGAGAGTTTTTTAGATTTATTGTTCTCAAATCACTGATCCTGTATAGATTTATTAAGTATAATTGCCATTCTCCCCCTTCAAGGATGTCATGAAATTCACTGATACTAAATCGTAGGTTCCTCTTTGTGTAAGTATGATGAGTTTTTGTCATTTCTTTTTTCTTTTCTTTCTTTTGGTGATGGTGCTGGGGATCAAACCCAGGGCTTTGTGCATATAAGGCAAGCGCTCTACCAGCCGAGCTATCTCCCCAGCCCCAGTTTTTGTCATTTCTAAAGAACCAAAGTAACAAGAATTTTTCTGACTCAATGAAAAACATAAAAGTTAATGATAGAAGGTAGACTAACACAGCCCTAGAACTCAACCACCTGATAAAAGTCAAAGTTTACAATTTGACCTTGATCTAATTACCTAAATATTATGCCCCAAAAAGAAAAACACAAAAGTTAAATTTTAAGCAGTCTGTGAAGTAGCAATTTTCAGGTAAGTATAAACTCTGGGTGAGACTGGGGAGTGTGTAGTTTGAAAGGCATATTCAGAATTATACTGTTTGATTTTGTGTTGGGTTGGAATATTGGATTTGTTGTGAAATTTTAAACTTATAGGGGAGGATATTTTTATACTAATTCAAAGGCAACATGGGTTTTTAAGAAGTTAAACACTTTTGACCCCCTAGATTAAGTTAGATCACATGATGTTTCATAGGCTGGAGAGAATCTTCAGGATTTGAATTCCCTGCACTTTTGAGGTATGCATTGTGAAACCAAGGCAGATGTCAATAATTGTATCCTTACATAAATATTTCTGGGATGGAGAGTTTTCGTGTGGTATATCTTAATTTAGAATGTAAAAATTTATTTTCAGAAAGCCTTGCTTCATATGCTAAATTCTGTGTTTGCATTTTGAGCTTGTTTCTTTTTGTATTGTGTTAAAATGGAAAGCTACCTACACTCTTTTCTTGGCAACCATTCATTTGGTCCTCATCCATTCTCAGCCTGATTATTTCTCCATTTTTTCTCACAAATCTTTGCTTTCTCTTTTACTTGTTTCAGGCGTACCATGAGGTTCCCTACACTACCTCCTTTACGTTGGCCAAGCAACTGTCCTTTTATAAGATTCGTACCATTGCCCCAGGCAAGACCCATACAGCTGCTATTGATGGTGAGTTGATTTTCAACTATATTGTGTCCCTTAGGAGCTCAAGTGTTAGCATTGCTTTGCTTTTTTTTTTTTTTTTTTTGATACTGAGAATTAAGTCAGGGACGCTCAACCACTGAGCTACATCCACAGCCCTTTTTATATTTTATTTAGAGACAGAGTCTCACTGAGTTGCTTAGGGCCCTACTGAGTTGCTGGGGCTGGCTTTAAACTCACAGTACTCCTGCCTCAGACTCCCAAGCCAACGTATTAGCTTTTCTTAATGACATTTTCATCTTCCTGATTTTCCCCATCTAGTATTGTCCTTAACAATCAGGCATTCAAGCACACATTTTTTACTTTTAATCATTATAAATGCATGATAAATATATTTCTCTGAGAATACCACACCTCTGATGCCTGACATATTGTCTCTAATTAGTACCCTTTATGTATTAGAAGAAAGGTAGTATCCATTTTCCACATTAAAAATACAATATTGGAGACAGAATAAAATATTGAGTCGATTAATGGATCTAACAGATTGCAGTGCTTAGATTGTGTAGCCTCCATAGATCCAGGATCATGTGGCTAGCTAACAACTAGACACTAATGCAGGGACTCATTATGTCTTCCTTCGGTAACCCATTTGTGCCTGGTTATTTATTTTGGCTTCTCTTTCAGAGCGAGGCCGGTTATTGACCTTTGGCTGTAATAAGTGTGGGCAGCTGGGCGTTGGGAATTATAAGAAGCGTCTGGGAATCAACCTGTTGGGGGGACCCCTTGGTGGGAAGCAAGTGATCAGGGTCTCCTGTGGTGACGAGTTCACCATTGCTGCCACTGATGGTGAGTTGTCATTTCCAGCTTTCTGAACAGATGGATATGTTTTTATTGGGACTAGTTTTTATATAGCTCGATTATGATTTACTTTTTTATTTATAGGAAATTAATGGCCAATTATTATATATCTTGAGACTCATTGACTTTTGTATGTTAAATATAGTGATTTTTTTAAGGGTCAGATTTCTAGATAATAATGAGTTGATTTCTAAGTTCTTTCCTTTTAAATTTTTAATTAATTTTTTGGGTAAAATGTTTTCAGAATTATCAAGAATTTCTGTCTATAGCTTGCCAAGCACCACACTGGTGCCAATTATCAGTAACTAGGTAACTGGAAAGAATATAGGCAGATCTTTCAATACTATGATAGAGGCGTCCAACTAGAGGCATCCAACTTCTTCCAGTGCTCAGTCCTCTCTCCAGAGTGAGTTCATTCCTGAAACTTTATATTATTCAACAGCCCCTCAATCTAAGTGTTACAAAAGATAGCCCAGTTATCCTAGGTGATTCCTAATGCCTATTATCTTAGCATAATCATTAGTAGAACCCTCCTTCGAATTAAAAGCAAAAAGGCCTGATTTGGATAAGAATCAGGATCCTGGATTTGGCATCATAGACAAACAATGTATTCTTATTTTATGCCCAAAACATATTACTCTGCAGCCTTCCCGTCTATAAGTGGCAGCTCCATCCTATACCATTCATCCCATTCATCAGCAAATCCTATTGATTATCTTCAAAACATACCCAACAACTTATCATCACCACTTACTATAGCTGGTTTCCCCGCTTCCACCCTGACTTCTTTGCAGTTTCTTTTCCTCATTGTAGCCTCAGGGATCCTTTTAAATACCTCCTGTTCAGAACCTCTAAGGGCTTCCTACATCAGTCAGGAAAAACCAAAGTCATCATAGTAGCCTCTACAGTCCTGTATAACCAGGACTGCAGCCATCTCCTCATCTCTCCTTTGACCACTCTGTCGTTTGTTACTTTGCTCCAGCCACAAGCTCCTCCTCATCCTTTTGCACTTATTTTACCTTGCGCTTACTGTTCCATCTGCCTAGAAACTCTCTCCCTCATTTCAACCACATTTCTACTTAAGCATCCAAAAGTACTTCTCTGACCACCCTTTCTATAATAAACCCCTTCCTGTGATTATTCTTTTTTTCTGCTTATTTTTCATCTCCACTTATCTTCCTTCATAACACATATTACTCCCTGAAGCATTAGATATTTCTTCGTATATTATAAGTCTCTCCCGCTCCAGTGTTGGTTCCAGAGGAGCAGGGACTTAATTTTGTTCACTGCTCATTCACCTCAGGCAGTGCCTGTCATGAAGTAGATGTCTAATAAATGTTTGAACGACCAGTAAAAAGTTGTTGAGTGAGTAAAGCAGTGTATGAATGGCAATACATAGGAGCTGGGGGTTTTTTGTTGTTGTTGTTTGTTGTTTATTTTTTACCTGGGTGGGATCAGGAGGAATTTAGGCTTCTGTAGGGGAATAAACAAATTACCCTCATTTGGGACAGTTTTCTATCTCTAAAAAGATGGGGAACTCCAAAAGTTGGGAGGCCAGTGTTCCAATAAATGATATTCTGTTTAATTTTTTTTTTCTAGATAATCACATTTTTGCTTGGGGAAATGGTGGTAATGGTCGCCTGGCAATGACCCCCACAGAGAGACCACATGGTTCTGATATCTGTACCTCATGGCCTCGGCCTATTTTCGGATCTCTGCATCATGTCCCAGATCTATCCTGCCATGGTTGGCACACCATTCTCATAGTTGGTAAGGGTTTCATATGTGAGGGATTGGGATGGCTTGGACAGGCTTGATCTACACCTACAGTACTATTGGTCATATTCTTGGGAAAAAAAATATTCCTGTAGTAAAGAGGCTACTTCTCTAAGTCTTATAATGGACAATATGCCCTAATCATTATGAAGTTATCTGGAGTCTGAGATAGCAGTTATTACCTCCCTCCTGATTTCTCCTCACTTTTCCTGCCTGTGTCTGTATACAATGCTTACTGACTGAATATGTTTCCTCAGAGAAAGTCTTGAATTCTAAGACCATCCGTTCTAATAGCAGTGGCCTCTCCATCGGAACTGGTAAGTAGCAGTATCTCAGCTACCACTGGTTTTCTGAAGAGTGGGTCGTTGGGTTAGAGTTAATGTACTCTCCAAAACTAAAGGGAAAACAGAAAATTTCTTTGGAAAATGAGGTATATATAGTGATTAAGAGGAAAGATACTATGTTGGTGAGTTTCACAATAAGTCATGACTTACATTATGGCCTGGGTAGAGTACATTTTTTGCCTTCAACACATATGGAAGTAATTAGTGGCTTTCTCATACTGTAACTTGTGCTGATCCTTTCCTTACTCTCCTAGGGGCCATGTTTTCTCTCTGTCCTTTGCGCCATTGTATTCTCTGGGGTATTCCATTCTATAGAAACCGTCCTTCAAAACAGGCTGTCGTAGCCACACATGGTGGCACACACCTGTAATCCCAGTGGCTCAAGAGGCTGAGACAGGAGGACCAAGAGTTCAAAGCCAGCCTCAGCAAAAATGAGGCACTAAGCAACTTCGTGAGACTCCATCTCTAAATAAAATACAAAATAAGTCTGGTGATGTGGCTCAGTGTTTCAGTGCCCCTGGGTTTAATCCCCGGTACCACCACCACCACCGCACCCCCCCCACCAAAAAAAAAAAAAACAGGCTACCAGAAATGAAAGTCAACTAAACTTTCAACATAGTTAGGAAAACGAACCAAGCCAGGTGCAGTGGCACACACCTATAATCCCAGCAGCTCGGGAGGCTGAGCCAAGTGGATTGCAAGTTCAAAACCAGCTTCAGCAAAAGCAAGGTGCTAAGAGCTCAGTGAGATCCTGTCTCTACATAAAATACAAAATAAGGCTAGCGATGTGGTTCAGTGGTTGAATGCCCTTGAGTTCCACCCCGGTTACCAAAAAGAAAAAGAAAGAAAGAAAAATGAGCCTGAGTTTTCTGATAATTTTACTTTAACTGCTTTCTCCATGTTTCTCTGTTACTTGGGACTATCCATGAAATTGACTATTCCTCCTTGGTCTTTCACCTGCTAGAAGTTCCTGTAGATTTGGTATCTCAGGACCAGTTTTTTCATGGAATCCAACAGATAAAAGCAGATTAATTCTCCCAAAAGAAACAGTTTTAAAATCTCATCTAGACTTTTTGAACTTTAACTTACATATACATTACCTCTTTATACTTTTTATTGGTTTCCTTAAGTAATCCATTGCTCATGATTTCTGATTATGCATGTTAATGCCTGTCACAAATGATTAAATATCATTTTGCTAAGCACAGTTCTCTTTTTCAAGCAAGGGCAAAAATTTTTGTATTTTTTTTTAATTCATTAAACTTATCCATATTACCTAGAAGAGCGCCTGGCAAATGGAAGATGCTATGTGAATATTTATTGATTAAATATGTCATACCCTTCCATTGCAAGGAAGAGTGTTCCTTGTTTCTTGTTCCATTTGTACAAGAGTGAAAATGAAGAGCACCTCCAAATAGTCTATAGTTTAAAGTGTAAAAAGCAAGTTTCAGCAGACTATGTACCTTTTTATAAAGTTTATTTTTATTTTTTAATTTATATTTGCCATACTAGGGATTGAACTCAGGGGCACTTTACCACTGAGCTGGCATCCTCATCCTTTTTATTTTTTATTTTGCCCAGGCTGGCTTTGAGCTTGTGATCCTCCTGCTTTAGCCTCCCAAGTTGCTGAGATTACAGAAGTGTGCCATTACACCTGGCACCTTTTTATGAAATTTTTAAACAAACCAAATAAATAATATATTGCTTGGGGCTGGGGTTGTGGCTCAGTGGTAGAGTGCTCACCTACCATGCACGAGACACTGGGTTCGATCCTCAGCACCACGTAAATGTTAAATAAAGATGTTGTGTCCACATAAAACTTAAGAATAAATATTTTTT